TAGATTTCTAGAGCCTCCCCTTGACTACAATGCATTCAGGATGCCCGTTCTGCCCTGCAGCCCATGGCCTTTTCAATTACACAGCTACATCACTCACTCCATATGATCTCCAATTAATTGGCTGTCTTTCATATCACCCCCAAGGTTGCATATACTGTGCAAAAGCACTCCTCCCTGATTTCAGAAGCCCAATACGAAAAGAAGGCCAAACAACCCTATTTCCTTGGTATTGTGAGATACATCAAAATTACTTTGGATATTCCTTCAACCCCTCACCTATCTTTCTAGCCCCTCAGAATCATGTGAAGGAGCTATGGTTGTTTCCATAAGACCCTACTGGCCACATGAGCCCCCGGGCACTGCTTGGTTCCCATCAGGATAAGACATTCCCCTCTTGGTTCACTTGTTTTGTCACCAACCCACCCTACCCAAGGGATATACTGTAAAAGATCCCATCAAAAAAAAAAAAAGGTGGGATATTCCATATACACCTTATTTTCACCCTAGCCTTCCTAGATGATATAGAGTGCCACCCTCTACCTTGGTATCTCAGAGAAATGTTTCAAGGCAGCATCTGCGATTTCTGCCAAACTTTAGTCAGGACCCATGTGAGACAACGCTGGGAGATGCAGTGCCGGCCCTATACCAACTGCATTCTACCCATCCCTGCTCCCTCATTGATAAATTTGTGTGTTTGGTCTCTTCTTATAAAACCTCATAGGCGACTTCAATGAAAATGCTATTACTACCATCAGTTCACCTCTGCTCGAGAGTGGCACAGCCGACCAGACTTCATGCCCGCCCCCAAAAGCGTCATCACCCCAGACTCAGCAGGAAGTAGTTACAGAAGACAGATACATCACTCCCTTCCCCTGGAGTGTGGTTTGCACTGGCCGCCTTTTCTTATCTAAACCAAAGAGGGGAGAATGTTAGGGACTTGACTCGCCATCACAGGCTGCATTTTCCTGGTGCTTCATGGCTCTAAAAATGACCTCATGCCCTTATCTTTAGTTTCCCTCCCCCCACCCCAAGGCCACAGCAGTCCAGAAAAGTTAAACCTGTTTCTGCAGGACTGAACCCATAAAAGGCAACCTGGCCTGTGATAGGTTCAAAGGAGCCCACTCCTCATAAATAAGCAATAACCCAGCCCAAAACCAATAAAAAGACCTTCCTTTCTTTGTTTTTCTTTGTTCTCTTCTTCCTCCTCCTCTCTCTCTCTCTCTCTCTCTCTCTCTCTCTCTCTCTCTCTCTTTTCTCTCTCTCTC